ATTATGCGAGACATTATAACATTGAAAACTTAGATAGTTAAATATTTCCTTAAGTTAATAAATATAACATGAAAGTAGAATGCACGTAATGCATTATTTCTATGAATGGATGAATATCATTGAAAAAAAAGCGAGTCATTTTCATGCGTACATGAATATCTTTCTTATGTTTATTTCCTAAAAAGTTTTCAAAGATTATATTCTAAATCTCAAAGATATATGGATTTACAAAAAATAAATCAATAAGGTTATGTGTATTTCTTTTGCTGATTTAATTCGCTATTGAATTGTACATATCACAGAACTATAAGTTTGTTTTAAAGCACTGATACGTGCTAAAAAATGACCTTAAGTAAAAAAATTTTTTCTATATTTGTGACGAAGTATATATCCTGTTCAGTTCTCTACATTTACATAAATACTATGGGACAGATGAAAACATGTTTAATAAGTAGAAAAATCATTGTTTTCCTACGAATAGTCATCATATAATTACAAGTTTTATTACTTTATCAAAATATGTAAAACTTAGGAAGCCAAAACATCTAACGGAAAAATGACATTAAAATGGCCTCAGTGTGATTTGTGCTGATGCACAACGTAGACCATCATCTTAATAAAGTGTTTTAATTGTTTAATTTCATAATCTTTTCAAAAATGTTCTTACTGATATCATACATCAATTTCTCATAGATAAAATTGGTGCACTAATAATAGAATGGAATATTCAAAACAAGATTGATAAAAAAAAAACATATTTTTCCTCCTACACTCGATTTCATCAAATTTTAGATATAAACTGAGAGAAATACATCATTTTTATTTATGAGTCAAATACATAGCTCTATAGAGTTTTAAAGGCACTTGTCCTAATGATAAACTAGAACTAACATAATATGATTTCACTTAGAATCGATCAATTAGTAAATGAAATTTAAAAAATCTATTTAGAAATTCAGAAGTTAGAGTAGTGTGGAAACAGTTACGTAAAAAATTTCTAATAAATTTGTTTATAGTGTAATAGATCGTATCTATTTTAAATGAATGGAGTTTGTGTGTATAAGCAGATGTCTGAATAATTGGAAGACACAAAGATGATGATAAAAATATGATTGCTTGTAGATAAAAAATTATTCTGTATAACAATCATGAATTCTTATGTAATATTACAAGTTACCATAAATATGTACAACAAGTTACATTCGTTCCTGTTTTTTTAAAGGATCTATCTTTGTCTGTAGTACACAGTATGAATGTAAAAAGAAATTGAAAATATTTCATCTAACAAGCATCATTGAGGAAAAAGAATTTTGTATTAATATTTATAACTTCTAGCTTTATTTCCATGAGATAAATTACATTTCTATCTTCTAATTCTAACTATTTAACTTAATTCAAATTAAAAGTTTAATTTTATTGACATGGTTGCATTGTATTCTAATATAGTGGATATACGTCCAAGTTTGACTTTCAGTATGAATTTCGAATTCTATTTTTCACTATGTATAAAATATGAGCACTTATTAAGCAAAGATTTCTTCATTATTCTTTTGACTGAAAATATGTATACGTCATATCGAAGTTACTTCGACATATAAAATATTTAAATAAATTCACACTGACTCAAAGATAAAACAATTATCTATTCAAATATTTGACTTATATTATTTTCACTTTTATATGTATTAATAAATCCTATTTTTTTTTATCAATAAAACACAAGAAATAAAACTACATTTCCATTGATTTATAATTTAAATTTTCTGAAATTATTTTTTGATATAGATTGATAATGAAATGTTTTAATATAGTAAAAAAACTAAAACTAACACAATACGATAGATTTCATTCTCTTTTTTTCTTTGAAAGTCTTATCTCTGAACAAAAAAAAACCAACACCGAAATTTTAATTATTGTAAAAGTAGAACAATTACATTCAACAAATATGTTTACAAAAAATTAGGTATTTCTTCTGATCGTATCAATTAAATTACAAATATCTCATGAATTTCTTAGCAACATGAAATCCATCTTTATTTCTACTCCATACGTCTCTTTCATTTCAGTACCAATGCGTGCAAGTCTCATTGATATTCATCGAAATGCAACATGGTCAAAGAATGATATCACTGTTGCTGGAGGAAATGAAAAAGGCAGCGAAACCAATCAACTCTCTCTCCCATGGGGTTTGTACGTCGACGATGATCAAACGATTTATGTCGCTGATTGTGAAAATCACCGTATTGTGGAATGGAAATCTGGTGCAACGAATGGAAAAGTAGTTGCTGGTGGAAAATGGATCAGGTAATGAAGCTCATCAATTAAATAGCCCATTGGATGTGATTATCGACAAAGAGAGCGATAGTCTCATCATCAGCGATTGGGGGAATAACAGAGTAGTTCGATGGCCTCGTCGAAATGGTACTCGTGGAGAAACAATTATTTCAAATATCACTTGCCTCGGTTTGACAATGGACGACAATGGTTCTCTCTATGTCGTTGACGTTGGAAAACATGAGGTGAGACGATATAAAATTGATGATACTCAAGGAACAGTGGTTGCAGGTGGTAATGGACAAGGAAATCGTCTCGATCAACTCTCTCAACCCCGCTACGTCTTTGTCGATCGAGATCATTCAGTTTATGTGTCTGATAATAGAAATCATCGTGTCATGAAATGGGAAGAAGGTGCAACACAAGGCATTGTCGTAGCCGGTGGCCATGGACAAGGAAGTAGTCTTACACAAATGCATGATCCTAATGGAATCGTTGTCGATCAATTGGATACTGTCTATGTGGCTGATTCGTTGAATCATCGAATCATGCGTTGGTCAAAAGGAGCCACACAAGGAAGTGTCATTATTGGTGGAAACAGTTATGGAGCACAGTCGAATCAATTCGCTTATCCCATAGGTATATCATTCGATCCACATGGCAATCTCTATGTCGTCGAAAACGGAAAAACTCGAGTACAAAAATTTAATATAGGATGAACTCAATGTGTATGATTAATTATTTTTATCGCTCTTCTTTTCTCTTTCAAATAAATCTTGATTGAACAGAAAAATGCATTCAAATTTACTGTGTTCTCGAACGCGCGCGCGCGACCAGGAACCACCCTGGTGGAGCTATGGCGAGCGTAATGCTCATGCACACGCGGGAAGACCCACATCATCCACATGCACCCATTCGATGTCATATGTCAGTGAGTCTGGGGGCCCGATCGTGTTGCCATGGACATCAAAGCAGTTCCTGGCCGGGCCTTTGGGGACTACCCGGAAGTCCTTTTAATAAGGCGAGCCTAACCTCAGCGTACCCCCTCCCACTCCAACACTCATTTAACTAACTCTCATCTCATAAAAAAAAGAAAAAAACTCACCCGTTGATGTTGAATGATGATGTCTCTAAAAGAAAAACAAAAAAATATTAAATGATAAAAAAAAAAGATAAATTACCCTCTATTATCTTTTTCTTCATTGATTAACGCCTAAAATTTAAAGAAAATACATAAAAAGGATCATAGGGGCGTGGGTGTGGGTGTGGGGTGCGGGGTGTGGATGTGGATGTGGGGTGCGGGGTGCGGGGTGTGGGTGTGGATGTGGGGTGTGGTGTGGGTGTGGGTGTGGATGTGGGGTGCGGGGTGTGGGTGTGGGTGTGGGGTGTGGTGTGGGTTTATTTCTTATTTCATTTCTCACATACCCACACCCACACACCCATACCCACACCCACACCCACACCCACACCCATACCCACACCCACACCCACACCCACACCTACACCCACACCCATACGATCCTCCCTTCACCCAAGGGGATTACAACAACGTCATTCTCGTTGGAATGAATTATGAATCATCGCATCAATAACGTTCTTTGCAGCTCAAGTATGAATAATAGAGCTCGTTAGCGACATTGTTATTGAGTTTCTCAGACGTGTCAAAAGCGTAGAGGATCTACAGGGTGGCCCATAATTAACGTAACCGAGAAAAAAATTCAATATCTCCATTACGGCTCAAGCAAACGAGTTGATTTTTTTGTCAATGATAGAGGCATGTTCAAGCTTCATATCCATAAAGACAAGCCTAGAGAGATCCTTCGTTAAGTATCACCAGTGATCTCGAGAAAAAAAAATTTCCTTTTTCGCAAATAGAAAAAAACCAGTATACGGAGTGGCGCAAAAGTCACTTCATCGAAAAAAAATTGAATATCTCCACTACGACTCGAGCAAACGAGCTGATTTTTTTTACCAATGATAGAGGCATGTTCAACCTTTATATTCATAAAGACATGCTTAGAGAGACTGTTTGTTAAGCATATTGTTTTTTTTCCTATTTGCGAAAAAGGAAAATTTTTTTTCTCGAGATCACTGGTGATACTTAACGAAGGATCTCTCTAGGCTTGTCTTTATGGATATGAAGCTTGAACATGCCTCTATCATTGACAAAAAAATCAACTCGTTTGCTTGAGCCGTAATGGAGATATTGAATTTTTTTTTCTCAGTTGCGTTAATTATGGGCCACCCTGTATATGATCGATTGTATGAAGAATTTATGATAATCAATTTTCCCAATTTGTATATAGTAATGTGACAATATTTTCAACGTGTATAAGCCAAACAATTTGATATTTAGAGCGTAGATACTATTCAGGCAGACAAAAGAAGTAGAAAAATGAGCGTTTTTCTCTCACAATTGCGGTCTCGATTATGAGAGAAAGTTCACTTTCTCTGCTCTTTGTGCATTTAAACTGGTTTTCGACAATATGTGACTACTTGGAAGACAATAATACATATCAATTAAATATCATGAGAAACTTCAAACACATCACAGGACACTGGGAATGCAACAATTCATCACTAATTCTCCCGTGAATATTCATGGATTATTACTCAAGCAGCCACATATTGCCGAAAACCTGTTTAAATGCACAAAGAGCAGAGAAAGTTAGCTCTTTCTCATAATCGTAGTTTCTGATGGTGACAG